AATTTTGAATTTTTTTTTTTGAAACAACATTTCATTACTTTTTAAATAGATTTCATCTTTTTGTTTCTTTTAACATTTTTTGTTTGATTATTTTTTAAAAAATTTGGAAACATAAAAATTGATAGTTACTAAGAGATATAGATTCCATTTTTGAAGTTTTTTTTTAAAAAAAAAATGTTTTTGGTAACTTTTAAATACATTTTTTTAATATTTTCTAACTTTTGGTTTTATATAATTTTCAAAACAGTTATATTGACTACAAAATTAAGCATTAAACCATAATAATTTAGACCGATTTGTTTTAAGTTTTTTTACACATCATCAGATAATAACCAATCAAAAAATGACATGTAATTGTAAAATGGGGCTAAACGGTCTTATTGCAATCGAAACTGATTTTGGAGCTGACACATAAGCGAAAGGCTGTGAAACTTCCTATGAGCGTGACACGTAAGCAATTCACTACACAAATAAGTACATAGATTGGTCGATCATTAATCATATGTGTTAATACATGTGACATGGATTTCTTTCAATAATGGGCCAACAAGTTTGTTCATGGGCCAGTGATTTTGTTCTCGGTCATAGCCACTGATTTTAGTAATGTACCAACGTCGAAACCCTAAACCCTAAACCCTAAAGCATCTATCCTACTATAGATATCCCATATCGCCTACATATTTTAACATACAACAACCGTTTTCTAAGTTCTAGCAACTTTTACAAAACTCGTCCACCTCTTTTTCACAAATACATCTTTTATATCCCGATCTGGTTTAAATTATATTGTTTGTTTAGTTGGTTGTTCTTTCATGCTAACTTTTTTAATTGTTTTGTTCCGATCAGGATTCTTCTATGCTAACTGGTCAAATATCTATGTTTTTTCTCTATCGTGTTCTATATTACTATGCATCACATCTATCTTATTTTTTAACCCCTGTTTTACTCTCTATATGATTTGTCATCGAGATATTATATTTGTGTTCTTTGTTTTTCTTTGTAATTCTATATATAAAATTTGTTGCTTCCGTATTAGATATTCATGTTCCTCTTTATTAAGTTTTTTCTATGCATATATTTGAATTATTGTTCGTAAATATAGATTTTTGTTTATCCCTTATAAGAGATAAAACCAATTGAAGGAAGGAGAGTCACCAATATAGAGGAAGAAAAATGTTTGCTAGAGAAAGATTCGGGTCGTAATTTTCATCGTCCTTGTAAATTGTTTCAGCTTGCTGGAACTACATTTTTAGTGTTTCAAGATTCATCGGAGTACCGAATAAATTGATGATTCTCTGACACCAGAATCTAAGAAACATATATGACTGAAGATCTTGTGAATTGAAGAATGAACATAGTCACATATTGCATTTCTCATATGTTTTGATGTGTAACAAGTAATTCTTGTGTCGTATAACTCTGTTGCTTTAAAAATTTAGTTTTTGAGTTAAATTTATCCTAAAACAGTCCATCCTTTGTTCCTTCTCTAAAACCCAAATCTTACAAGACAAAGCTTATATGGTATCTTCGAAGAAGACTTGAAGAATGAGATGAAATCTCGAATAGGTTTCCATGTTTAAAAAAAAACTCAAATCAGATTGTTATGTGTTTTTGAATTTCACTGGTTTACTTGAACACGAGCCAGCAGAGATTGAACACTCAGACATTGAATTCGAGAATACTAAAACGGGTGTGAACCCCTGACTGAAATGCATGAGGAAAACATGGTAGCTAAAGAAAACAATGGGTGAAACAAGAAAAGATAGTTGGGAAATGTGTGATTGATATGAAAAAAGTGGAAAAAAGAGATGACGAAGGCTTGAAGGTAAAGAAGAGAACGAAAGAGAGAAGGAGAAGTTGAGGAGATAACACTAAAGCTATATTGTAGAATTTATCATTAATTTAAAGAGAAGAAAAAGAAGGGAAAACCTAAGGAGATCTAAGTTATGAATATAGAGATGGAGGGATAAAGAGAGAAAGAGAGAGAGAGAGAGAGAGAGAGAGAGAGAGAGAGAGAGAGAGAGAGAGATGGAGAAAGAGGTAGAGAGAGGGAGATACAAAGCGAGGGGGAGAAGGAGAGTGATGGAGAGAGAGGGGGAGAGAAGGAAAGACAAAAAGAGGGGGAGAAGGAGGGAGAGAGAGATGAAACCTTTGATCGTGCAAGTAAACGAATCAGAATATGGAGACGAAAGAAAATATGAATCAGAATAATAATCATTTTGAAAAGACAAATAAAATGAAGACTAAGAGGTAAAGAAAAGACGAAGAAAAATCAAAACAAAAAGTCGGGGAGACATAGACGATGACAAAGAAAAGGATGAGGGATAAGAAGATTGAAAGATATGTAAGAGGAAGAAGAAGAAGTCAAAGAAGAAGAAGTAGAAGTAGAAGTCAAAGACTATGAAGAAGAAGCAGGAAAAAATGAGGAAGAAGAAAATCCAAAAGATGAATAAGAGGAAGAAGAGAAAATTGAATTTGATGGGAGAAGAA